ATGTACACGGCTCGTTTAAACGTTGGATAGTTTAAAACTTTGTCATTTTAGGATACACAACTTATGTTGAGGGCAACTCTACCATTGCGAGCGCACCGAGTCCAACGACACTTCTGGCGGGAACGACCCCAGCAGACGGTCGAGGAGCAGTGGTAAACGACGAGCAAACGGCGAAAACGATAAAGAAACAATATGGAGGGCAACTCTACTCGACCATTGCGAAACTTGCGGACATGTAAGGTATTTGTTTTGGCAACTTTTGCTACTTTGGATACTCTCTGATTATAACATCCTAGCATCCTGGTTTCGACCTTGCCTGACACGGTTTTGCTACAGGCTTAGAGGCTTGAACCTGACTTGCAACATCTTTTTAGTCTCTGCTGCATTTCATGGCTTTCGCTCGTGTTGAAGTTCTTCAAAAATAAAATCCTGCTAAAAGTAAAGTAGAAAGTGCGGTGCTCGGTTTTGTGTTGGAGACGACGCGTCTACACATTGTATAAAGTTTAAAGTGTAAGTTTTTTTGGCGTTTTTTATTATAGAAGTTATCGGATAGCGTTTTTAAATCAATTACACCAGGTACTATTGACTTAATTGATTAAAATATATTGTAGATAGCAAATATTAGATGCTAAATGTAATCTAATTTGTTTCTTTCCAGGTTCTGTTCTACTTGCTTCGTTCTCTTCTCTTTTAAAAGAGCCTAAAAGTCGTGAGTTTTGTTTGGCTTTCGATTTAACGTAGCCAATTTTTATTTGCTACACAATTTTATTGACAAGAAATCTCAAGTTTTAATTGATTGGCATAGTTTTTTTTGAATCTTTGAAAGTTTCCCAAAACCAAGTCTAAACTAAGGGAATTGGCAGAATTTAGTTTTTTGAAGCTACCCCTAGTGTAAATTTAGATATTAAAGAAAATTCTCAAAAAAGAAAAGCTTAAAGTTATCTTTTTAGATCCCGATTGGCGTGTAGTTTGCATTAACCGAGCGATTTTTCTGGGTAACTGGCGAAATCAAGAAAAAAAGAGGATTCCTTTTCTTTTCGTGTATATCGTTGTTTTAATAAACGTCTGGCATTTGTTTTTAGATTTTTTCGATAATTTTTACCGAATAGTCAGCTGAATAGAACTTTTTTCTGGGCAAATTTGGGTTTTTTTGCACGTTTAACACCTGTTGGTCAGGGAATTACCGAACTTGTAAGTTTTTCCTTGTGATCAAATCTGTAATCTTTGATCAAATTCATTTGGGGTTTTTTTAAAAAACCATGTTTCAAATTTTTTGAATTAGGCACTTCCTTCGCTCGTTTAATTCCGGTGTTACATTTGGATTTCAAATTTTACCCATCACTTTATTGACTTTCTAATCTCGTGTTTTGTTCATTAATTTCCCGCGAATTTCATAAATCCTTGATTGATCATTTTTCGATTTGTCCCTCTCTCTCGCAGACAACACCAAAACTTATTTACCCAGACTTACCGTAACCCTTAGAAACCGATTTTCCAAAGAAAAACCCCAAAAATGCTTCTCTGTAACACAGTATTGTTTGTTTAGTATCTAAATGACTAATTTTAAGCAGTAGTTTTATTTTTTAAACTTTATTTTTAGTCGTTCAAAAAGCAACAAAGCGATCAATTATCCTATATATACTCCAAGTGGTTGTTGTGAAATCGCCACTTTCAATTGCAAAGCCTAAACTGGAAAAACCTAAAATTGTGCCAGCTCTACCTGTGAAATCTCCACGAGACAGCGAATTTATCGAGCTGTATGTAGAAGGTTGGTTTTCGAGCTTTGTTTTCAAATTGATTTGAAACTTACGATGGATTTTTCAGGTTGTTTACGAGAAAGTCCCGGCGCACTCGGGTGTTTATGGGAATGAGATGGCCGATCGACTTGCCGTGCAAGGAGCCGAACGGGCAAACGAATTAAATTGTGTAAATCTTTTTGACAAATTTCGAGATTCAAATCGGTGCAATTAAGTCCAACTTTATTGTGATTGCTTTTACGTGAAAAGTTTCTTTGATTTACGGTTAACTTTTTGTGCGGGTACAATGAATTTTACAGAATTCTATGCTATGAAAATTTGAATTTTTGCATAAACGCGCGCCCACGCAGTAGAATTTTTTCGAAATAACCGCGATTTTTTCATAGGAAAATGAATAACTTTTTATTTTTCTACATTTTTTATTAGAAGATATACAGTGGTCCACAAAAGTAATGCCCCATTGCCATTTTGGTCAAGTTAATCAAAAGCAACTAATCATGGTTTCCTCTATGGAAAATAAAGAATAAATCCTTGTTCAAAGCTTATTGTGCAGCCAGAAGGGGTTCACAGGATTTAAGAGAGTACAAAGTGCATCCTCTCCGGAATCCTATCCGGGTACTTTAGGTACAACATTGTACATTGTTTTTGGATTTTCGGAGCACTAGACAATACATTTTTGACAGTACTGTACTGTACTTTACTTCTACTAGATTGGCTCAGCCAGTTGAGGAGCTACTAGGGATATTCTAAGAAACAACATCTAAATTTTTTTCTGATATTTTCCCCGTTTTTTACTGATAAATTTTCTCATTTTCTTCTTCTTTGTTTTCCATTTATTAATGAAATTTTGGTGAAATTTTGTGACACCACGTTTTTCGGGAGATCTTTTTTCTCCTTGATCTCCTCCTTGATTTCTTCTGGAAAGACTATGAATTAGAAAAAGAATAAGAGAATTGTTCTGTGGTGAAGTTAAGATGAAGTTAAGATTACTTTTAAAACTTTAAAACAGAAAAAATCTAAAGCTTTGAAGTTTTTTGTAGCTTTTAGGCTTTGGATCTTGACTAAACGATTAGAAGCTTTCTTTCATGTAAAATCCAAAATCCATCAGCTAAAGACCTGATAAACGATAAAATGGCTTAATAAAATTGACAAGTAGAAGAGGAAAGAAAACAAATCTACATTAAAACACAGATTAAACAGGATTTAAACATTCAATACTTTTTTTCTGCGCGCCTAATTGAAAATCTAGTTGTCGAGCAGATCGAAAAAGGAAATTCTGAGTTTGAAAAGTGTCTAAACATTGAGAAGCCAATCACTAAATAAAAAAGTCTTATTAAGAGTTTTTTTAAGAGTTTTTTTTTGAGAAAAATAGAGTTATAATTAATAAACGAAAATGAAAACAAACAAATCTAATTCCTCATTTGAAAATTATTTATTTAACTAATAAAAACAAAGAGCACAATGGGGAAATGGGGAATTGTTTGGTTGTGGCTGTGGTGGTTGTTGAAAAGAAAAGAAAAGTGGTTCAGTGACACCCAGATGACCGTTCCAACAAGGTATACCAAGGAAAAAGGAGAAAAGAAGAAGAACAACAACAAAAGACATAATACTTATGTTCTCAAACTGGATCGCGGTGAAAAGGGCAAAGAAAATTAGGGGAAAAGGCTCAACCAACATAGGATAATCAAGAAAGCGAAGAAAAACAATGCCCAAGTGCCCAAAACAATGCCCAATCGCTAGTAACAAATTACTAGCGATTCTTGCGATATAAACTTTTCTCCTTATTAAATAAGAGTTTTCAAGTTTCAAGGCAATCTAATTGGTATTTAAAAAGATCTGAGTTTACACAATTCTCTTAGTTAAAAACCCTTCAAATACCGTATTTTCTCTGATAGTAGTGCACCCAGGCGAGCCGAGTTGGTGACTATTTTACGGCTTTCAAAGTTTCCCAGAAGCTCAACACTCAGATCCCAGCAAGATCTGATCGTCAGCTACATTTTCCGGCAGGGAATTAGTTTCAATTTTGGATAAGTTTGGATTGAAGAAATTGAGATTAATGATGCAATCTCAAGAGAATTTCTGATAGTTTCAATTGAAAGGGTAAAGAGATAAGTTTCAAAGATCTGTGGCTATTGAAAATATTCGGAAGCTTTAAAACTAAACCTGCTTTAAATGCTAGATTCAAAGTTTGAAAGTGAAATAAACTTTAAAATATAAAGAAAAGAGGGAGAATCTTTAGAGAATTTTTAGGAGAAGCTTTAGAATTCAATCTTTAGCTTGAAGATAAACTTCAACCGTAAAGAGACTTAAAGCTTTAGGGATTTCTACAATTCTTTGTCACAATACATTTTGTATTCTTTGTGCTTTCAAATCTCGTAAACTAGCGCTCGTAAGAATTTACTGCGTTTACTCGTAAACGCAGTAAATTCTTCCATTTCTCTCGTGCTGTGAGGGGAAAATGGAAGAATTTGAGTGAAAAGGGGGAGCCTGAGCAGTAAAGTCCACAAGCCATACCTAACAAGCTGTAAATCAATCAACCAATTGAGCTACATTTTCAACAAACAGCTACATTTTCCGGCCCCACATCGATAGGTTCTGATAAGCGGTTCTCGAGATTTCGAGGGATTTAGACGACGATCAGGGTGCACTACTATTAGAGAAAATAAGGTAACCACAATGAGATTTTGATTGATTTGATATTGAGATTGATTCTAAAAACTAACCTTTTGAAGCAACCAATTAATGAATTTTTTAAATTTTTTTGCTTTTAATTAAAAAGTACTTTCAAATTTTTACCTAAAAACCCTGCAACATTCTTTTTCAACGAAAATAGTCAAATGAAGGCTCAAATTCCTCGTGCAAGTGCTCAATGAAATTGCTCAAATTGCTCAATTTACTAAAAAATCAAGCCAAAGACTCAATTCAATTAAAATCAAGTAAAACTTTAATGAAACTAAAGAAATTTTTTTTGAGAGTTTTTGTCCCAAAAGTTTAACGAATTAATTGAGGAAAAGAGATGCAAAAGCCATTTCTGATTGATATTGGTTTTCTTATCGTCGTCAAGCAGCATCCAAAATCTAAAACTATTATCAAAGTTTTTAACCTTAACTTTGCCTTCTCGAAACACCTCTCAGTTAAATGAAAAAACATGGTGGTTTTGTGAGGTTTTGCGTGAGGCAATCGCCCCACAGAATGGGATGATCTGTGGAATAAACACCCCTTTTCTGGCGCACTTAATGCTTCCATTTCCCCTCAGCAACTGGTGTCACAAGGGGGAAATAAAAGAATTGAGGGCGCCAGAAAGACGGGTTTTGTCGAGAGTCCAATTCGGGAGCTTGATTACATCAACGGTGATATTTACAAGGAACGACGTTGGAAATAAACCCGATTTTCGTGTACTTATCGAAATCGATTGATTTCAATTTTCATATTGAAAGAAAAAAGATTTTTGCAATGTTTTCAATAATTGTAATATATTCCTTATTAAGAAGATAACAATCTAGAGGACAGAGGTAAAAGGAAAGGTTTAGGCCTCTTTGTCATCTTTAGAGCTGAGAGCTTCGACTCCAAATCAATTTGAGCTTTTGTTATGGATCAATTTAGAGGACAGAGGTAAAAGGAAAGGTTTAGGCCTCTTTGTCATCTTTAGAGCTGAGAGCTTCGACTCCAAATCAATTTGAGCTTTTGTTATGGATCAATTTAGAGGACAGAGGTAAAAGGAAAGGTTTAGGCCTCTTTGTCATCTTTAGAGCTGAGAGCTTCGACTCCAAATCAATTTGAGCTTTTGTTATGAATCAATTCAGTAATCAAGGGAAATTCAAGCTAGAATAAAAAGCTAATACTTGGTGTTTTATCGTTTTTGAACTGACGCTTTGTTGCAAATGAAAACATGTTTAAAATTCAAATGATTCTGTGGATCGTTCTTTAGTATTGTTTGTGAAAATTTCAAATTGATATCTTATCCTTTCACTAGAGTATTCGAACATATTCGACTACGCTACAGCCAAAAAAACCAATTACTGCAATAGATGTGATGTGTTAGCTGACGCCCGGCCGAGCAAACGCCTGTGTCGTCTGCATAATCGGGATCCCCATAGCCGGGACTCGTCATCAACGACTCTCCATCACAAACTGTTCCACTCCATTTCCACGCGCATGCACTATTTTTCGCTTCTAAGAATTCACTTTTCTAACTTTCTTCGCACCTCACTCACTAATTTCCACCGGGAAACTCGGCTTTAAGTACTACTTTAAGACTTACTTTAAAGCATACTTTAAAGCATACTTTAAGGCACGCTATTCCCGACTGTAACCCTTTACAAAGCTTTATCGAGTTTACAGAATGGTGCCAAGAAAGAGATCCTCTACGGACTTCGATGTTCGAGCAATCCGGTTGTGAACGCGATCAACCGCATCTGTGCTTAACCGATTTTGTCGCACCACTCGATGGGGGTAAGCTTTTGGAATAAAGAGAGATTTAAGTGCGCCAGAAAGTGTGCATTTTCATTGTTAAACTACAAGTTCACGCTATAGATCACATAGGCTATACTGGCTCTCATGACACTAGCCTTGGCTTGGCCCCACCCTAGGTTTAGGCTCAACCCTGGCCCTGATCCTGGTCCAAGTCTTGCAGCCCCAATAGTAAAGCTTGGCGCTGGCTCTAGCATTGTTCTTGACCCGGAATCAGGTCTCCAAAAAAACTGGAGCTGATTCTGATCTTGATGTCGGTTCTAGCCCTGCCCAAGATTCCAAAGAAGTGATCCTGGTCTAGATCTGACTCAAAGAAAATCGCAGAGAGATAAGAGTGCTCTTCATCTATTTCTTCTGCTTTTAGGTAAACCCAAGGACTACATTGGGATGTTCGCATGCACAGCCGGGTTGGGTGCCGAGGCATTGTGTGCAAAGTTCGAGGCGGAAAGTGATGACTACAACAGTATCATGGTTAAGGTGAGAGATCTAGGCATCAGATATTTATAATCTTCTAAACGTACTAATGTTTATTTTCCAGGCTTTAGCCGATCGTTGCGCCGAGGCGTTGGCTGAGTGTTTGCACAGGCGGGTGAGTTCAAGGCTTTAAAAAGCTACATTATACCGTCGCAAATTTCAAATAAATCTTTATACTTAGTCTAAAGTAATCTAGACTAAAGATCTAAAGCATCGCCGCATCTAAAGCATTGCCGCAGTCATTCTAAAGCGTGTCCCAATCACTGGAGACTCTGGAATCACTGGAGACTCACAGTAGCTACAGATTGCATTGCTGGGTTACGGTAGAATCACTACGTGTTTACGGGTTACGGTATCCGGGATATACTTTGGGCTGAATGGGTTTTTACATTACAATTACAGATCCGGGTCGAGTTGTGGGGTTACAGCAAAGAGGAAACTCTATCGCATGATGATATCCTTTCGATCAAATATCGTGGAATTCGACCAGCACCCGGATATCCAACACAACCGTATTTAAAAGTATAAGCTACTCAGATAACAAGTACATTTCTATATAATAGGTTGATGCATAAGTGTTTTTGTTCCTTTTCGTCTGCCGTTTCAAGCCAACAAATGCACCAATTAAACTACGGTTGATAACATTAAAACGGGTTTCAAAATATTGAATGCCTGGATTTTCTTGAGAGTATGAAGTCGGGTAGTCAAAAAGGGCTAACTCGATGATGCGGTTTAGACACCTTAGCTAAAGAAAGCCTATCTTCGTGTCAATAGATGAAAGATAGAGAAAAAAACGTTTGATAATTCGCCAAAATTTCAGAGAAATTCATTCAGCCAATTTTTCCGCAGAGTTTTTTATAGTTACGAAAAAGGCGTTTTTCACTCTCGAATTTGCTTCAAAGTGAACCGAAATTCATTTAAAAAGATGCAAATTGAACCGAAAAACACCTTGTTTCATAGAGCAAACTATAGATTAATTGGTGAATTTGTTACTTTTTAACAGAAGTACGAAGAAAACGAAAAGACTTATGCATCAACCTAATATAACAATAAGTCAACAAAATGGTCAACTTTAACTACTAGATAAGTAGTCCGGAAATTACTATTCAAGGATTTTCCAGACTCTAGAGCTTGTAAACTAAGAAAGGCTAAAGGTTGAATTGAAAAAATAGAGCCTTTAGGGTAACCCTGCCGTGTCTCATGTGGTTCTTAGCTAGAGGTTTAAACAGGTTAAAAAAGGTTGGATATGAGGTACACCATTGCGTTGAAGTTTATATCATTGAACTATCGTTTTACAATGAAATGTCTGATTGTAAGTAGTAAATAGAAATGTAATAAAACTGTAAAACTAGTGAATAGACGAGTAAACTGATTTCGAAAAGCTTCTCAACTGATTTATTTCAGCGTATTCTCTGGCGACTCCTTGGCGAGTGTAAAGAGGCGCAAATCGGGTTGACGGGTTTGTTTTTAATAGCTCACAGCGGTTGATTAATGTAGTTAATCTATAAATAATAAACTTATAGGATTCTGATCAAAGCTGAATAATTTCTAGTAATCATATCAGCTTATTGTACACTTGAAAGTTAAAATTAAAAGATTTGACTGAAAGATTTGGCTAAAATCGAGTTGCAGATTCTCTTGCAATGACCCCAGCAGCTCTGCTTTATGTTTCTCTCATCTAAACACCAATATAAATAATCTATTTCTTCTAAACAGTCAATATAAATAATCCTAAGACTTATAGTTAGATTCTGATCAAATCTGAATAATTTCTCGTAATCATATCAGCTTATTGTACACTTGAAAGATCAATTTTAAACTAAAATCGATTTACAGATTCTCTTGCAATGACCCCAGCAGCTTCAGTCTCTGCTTTGTGTTTCTCTCATTCAAACAGCCAATATTTCGCCGTCGGCAAGATCAATAAGGATCAGGTAAAAAAATCGGATTGAATTTCAGTGAAAAAAGTCAGTTGTTGACTAAATTGAAATGCTTTCTTAGGAGTTTCGAATGAAAAAAGACTGAAAATTTTAGGTAGAGGACTACTCGTCCCGGAAGAATCAAAGCATTGAGGAGACTGAGCGTTGGTTGGCACCGATTCTTGGATATGAAAATGATTAAAATGGGAAAAGAAATGGGAAATGTTTTAAGTTTTCATTCAATAAATTCGATTTTTGTTTTTTGATTGTTCTGTTGAAGTTGTTGTTGAAGTTGTTGAAGTTGAATTCTTTGAAATCTGAAAACTCGAATGAATGAATGAACGAATGTGATAGTCCATCTTCTGATTCGAAAATGTTCCGAGCCGTTGCGAACAATTCTACTTAGATTTTCATACTTAGATCGGATTTTTCAGCTTTTAGAGCCAAATCTTTTCAGAAATTTCGGAAAAATGAAGTTTAAATTTGAAACTCTCAATTTTTCACCTTGATAACAGTCCTCTTTTGCTATTTTAGTGAAAAAAAAGAATCAGTTAGAATCAGTTATAACAATAAGTCAACAAAATGGTCAACTTTAACTACTAGATAAGTAGTCCGGAAATTACTATTCAAGGATTAATTCAGCGAATGCACCATTGCAGTTAGAATAAAGTGTCTCTTATCTTTTCAATAGCTCATGAACAAACCTATTAAAAATGAAACATTAAATATTAAATTAACTACAAACTAAACTACAATCTTTAACCAGCAATATTATTGCCAAAATTTTAGCAAAAAAAAACTTTTGCCCACTTTTAACTTTGATACTCCGAATCAGAATCTCATAATTTTTGCTTATCAAATAGTATCAATCTTATTGTAAGCGGACAAGCGAATTTCTAAACTGCTGATAGAATTGGCCGCTGAATAAACTTACTAGATTACCATATTTGACAAGGTGCTTATTTGAATTACTACTTTAGTAAGAAAATAGTATCAATAATCCAAAATGGCCCAATTTCCCATTTTCCATTCAATTATTGCTCTCTTTCGAACTATTTCCTTCACTTTTTTAACCGAATCGAGCCGTTGGCAGAAATAGCCTCTTCTCCTCCCCCTTGGCAAGCAGATGTCAGATAATGCCCGAACTGTATCAATCGGTAGCGATATCAAAGAAAAGATCATTCATGTCTCTTCATTTGTCACTTTCAAAATCTTTTCTCTTTACCTATTTTTCAATTTAGATAATTTAGCTGCTTGAAAATGTCTCTTTAGCAATTTAGCTGCATTGAAAATGTCTCTTTTCGAGCGAGCTTTCTCCTTCTTGAACTGCACTCATTGCAAAAAGTTTTGTGAGTTTTAAAATCAACAATTAACATAATGAAATTTAACAAAAGACAAAAGACTATCCATTATCCAAATGAAATCATTTACCCTTTTTGATTTCAGTCGGCTACTACTGAAAGGCGCTTTCATGTGAGAATCGCAACTTCGATCATGAGGCCGTTTGTGGAAAGTGCATGTAAGTCACTTCATCTTTAATAACTTTTAAACAAGAAATTTTAAGCCAAAAGTTGACTTGACTTTGGCTTTTTTTTGTCTATTAATTATGGGTAGTAATTGTTTACTTCAAAATTATTTCTCAGGCACGATCATGCCGAATCGATTCACGCCATGAACAAGCAGCGCTACATCACCGAATTCGTCGCTCGTCGTCACGAGATTGAGGGTGAGTGATGTCTATTAATTACGGTAGTAGTTGTTTACTTCAAAATGCTTCTGTTAAAGTTTGTACTTTTCAATCAACTATTCGACTCAAAAACCAATTGCTAGACCTGCATTAAGCTTGTCAGATCGGGCTGAAGCACAGAAAAGAACATTAGATACAAAGTAAAATTCTATCTTCGAATTCTAAAATTCAGAAAAGATCCGTGATTTCCTCAACAAGATGGAGACGAAATTCTTTGATGGATTGATGATCGTAAGGCTGAGACGAGCAATGCCAAACCTGCAGTACGTCGTTGAGCTGATCTATTGATCTATATCAATATAAGTCACAAATCAAGATCTTTAAGTTTGTAAGCTGACAAGAAGACAAATCTAGAATCAAAACAATTCACCTTTAGGTTGTTCCAAGCGAGATCGCGGTATCTGCTCAGAAGGACAAGAAGGACGATGATGATGAAAAGAGTGCGACAAGAAGGACGATGATGATGAAAAGAGTGCGACAAGAAGGACGATGATGATGAAAAGAGTGCGACAAGAAGGACGATGATGATGAAAAGAGTCTTAAAAGTAATCATACCATTTGTTTCCAACTCCGAATTAGGATCCTTGTGTTTCTAAAACTAATTCTTTTTACATAAAAATCAGAAACCAAATTCTTCAACGTATCATCGATACACTCCTTTGAGATTTTACACCATTTCTGACAAAACGAAATCTCTCTTCACGATATTAATATTTTTACCGGCTGATCGTCAACTACTCGTCCATTGACTACGGCGATTATGGGCGATTTTCGGTCGACTAGCCCGCTGGTCAAAAGTCATGGAGTGTAGTGCCGGATAGTTGAGCACAAATTCGAGAGAAGAGATCGCGCCTTTCATCGTTGAAACCGGAAAAAAATCACTACAATACTTATATCGCTATGGTACGGACATGACAGTAGTATTATATAGTATGTGTAAGAGCAGTCAAATTTACTAAGAATCTTGAAGTGCCTTGATACATTGCCGGCTTGCAATATCCCATAGACAATATTTGCCGCTCATATCTCCACTCGCCAATAAAGTTCCATCTGCGTTAACGGCCAACATTGAGATTTCACACAAATGACCAGCCAATATCTGGAAGCAAAATTACAAACCAATCATATAAAAAACCTTACTGGAATTGTGTCATTGTCGCTAGTGGTTTGAATGAGAATTTCTTGACGATTTCCCTGAATATGAGATTTTCCATCCAACGCTTAAAAATTTACGATGTCATAGAGACTTTAATTTAAAGGGCTTTAATCTAAAGGGCTTTAATCTAAAGGGCTTTAATCTAAAGGGCTTTAATATAAAGGGCTTTAATCTAAAGGGCTTTAATCTAAAGGGCTTTAATTTAAAGGGCTTTAATCTAAAGGGCTTTAATCTAAAGGACGTTAATATAAAGGGCTTTATTCTAAAGGGCTAATCTAAAGGGCTTTAATCTAAAGGGCTTTAATATAAAGGGCTTTAATATAAAGGGCTTTAATATAAAGGGCTTTAATTTAAAGGGCTTTAATCTAAAGGGCTTTAATATAAAGGGCTTTAATCTAAAGGGCTTTAATTTAAAGGGCTTTAATATAAAGGGCTTTAATCTAAAGGACGTTAATATAAAGGGCTTTATTCTAAAGGGCTTTAATCTAAAGGGCTTTAATCTAAAGGGCTTTAATTTAAAGGGCTTTAATCTAAAGGGCTTTAATCTAAAGGACGTTAATATAAAGGGCTTTAATATAAAGGGCTTTAATATAAAGGGCTTTAATATAAAGGGCTTTATTCTAAAGGGCTTTAATCTAAAGGGCTTTAATCTAAAGGGCTTTAATCTAAAGGGCTTTAATCTAAAGGGCTTTAATCTAAAGGGCTTTAATCTAAAGGGCTTTAATCTAAAGGACGTTAATATAAAGGGCTTTATTCTAAAGGGCTAATCTAAAGGGCTTTAATATAAAGGGCTTTAATATAAAGGGCTTTAATATAAAGGGCTTTAATTTAAAGGGCTTTGAATCTCAAAGGGCTTTTAATATAAAGGGCTTTAATCTAAAGGGCTTTAATTTAAAGGGCTTTAATATAAAGGGCTTTAATCTAAAGGACGTTAATATAAAGGGCTTTATTCTAAAGGGCTTTAATCTAAAGGGCTTTAATCTAAAGGGCTTTAAT